AAGTGATACCAAATTTCAGCAAATTCGGTTGAAAAGCGCGCTCAAGAACCCCAATATACTGAAAATTGTGGGTGCCCTTATATGGGGCCTATCCGAAAAAATGGACCTATATTTATAATTTTTAGTGGAGAAATTGGGGGTACCGTAAAAAGGGGGCTACCAGAAAAAGTGGAGTACGTCCCTTATGTATCGTTTTTAGAAAATTTATCTAAATTTAATTTTACGATAAATTAAAATAAAATCTTCTTCTTGAAAATCCATCTACTACAGGAAATTTTTCAAAAAAATGTTTTTGAAAATATCCGGGATTTAATTGCGTTTTCCGTGGATCATTTCCGTTTCAATAAATAACCTGATACATATTTTGTGAAAACAGAACTTTAAAAACTTCAACCGAAAGAGAGATGTACCCAATTCATCTCAAAAATGGTGTGAGCTTGGTTACCCATGGTCCTTAATTAACAGCATTAGATCGATGTATATTTTTAGGGTGCACACCGAAATCGGATGCGAGTTAAAGGCATATGGACTTTTCGGAAATTATTCGCGTTTTACGAGTTTTTGGATACTTTAATGTAAGAAATTTCGTAAAATATACATTGATTGGAATATAAACTCCAGTACATTCTGGAAACCGCATGCGCATCAAATGATTTTTACGATTACGCGATTTATACGCAATTTAAAATGTCTTTTTCAAAATATAGTTTTATTTTATTTATGCCCAAAATTAAAACCTCAACTAAAAATTTGATCGCGAACGGATTCGGAGTCAGGTCATTCTTCTCTATACATATGTGTACCAAAAATCATTAATGTACCACGAAAAAACCCGATTTTTTGAAAATGGAATATTAAAAAATTGTCAATATTGTCCATATATAGATTTTATACAAGAAATTTTAGGAAAAATATTGGTTTTTTTTCTTTTACCCGAATTTCACCGACAAATTGACATATATAAAAATAATAACTTCTTGTGTATAAGTATACAACTTGGGGATTAAATAGTAATACATTTTAAAATAAAACTATATTATGACATTTTTAATTGGGTTTAAATCGCGTAATCCTCAAAATCATTTGATGCGCATGCGGTTTCCATGAAATACTAAAGGTTATCTACCAATCATTGCATGTTTTGCGTAATTTCATTTGACGGCTAAGATGTACTACGCGTTGCAATGAAGTAACCAAGAACTCGAAAAATGCGAATAATTTCCATTAACGCGCGTCCGATTTCGGTGTGCACCGTAAACAAATACATCGATTTATGTCTTTTTCAACGCGGTCCATTAAGAACCATGTATGACCCAGCTCACTCTATTTTTGAGATAAATTGGGTACATCTCTCTTACGGTTGAAGTTTTTAAAGTTAAGTTTCCGCAAAAGTTCAAAATCCGTATAAGGTTATTTATTGAAACGGAAATGATCCGCAGAAAATTCATTTAAATCAGCATCATTTAAAGGTAGATACAGTTAAAATTTTGAAAAATGATCGCCTCAACCCGTTTTTGCACATTTTTTACATTAAAGTAGACATAAAAATTAAATGTTCTTGTCTTCGTCTATTAAAGCACTTAACATATGTCATATTCATATTCCGTGTAAATGTTACATCATTACCTATCAATAAAAATTTATAAAAAACGAAAAATTATAAAATAACATTTAATTTTATGACGTTTGAAATCAAAAATTATTCAAAGTTGATCCCTCTAACTCACCCATTTATGTAGTATCCATAAGTAGAAATTTCCAAACCTAAATCCATATCATACCCCTCCCACATTCCAACATGATCCTAACTTCAAATTCAAATTGTACCAAATTTATTACAGTTTAGTAACTTTCGTATACATGAGTATACGCTTTCAAACCACCTCCTTAAATCGACCCTATTTCTCAACCTAAATTTGCTATCCAAATTTCATGTTTTTAGTTCTATCTATTCTCTATGTAATGAAACTGTACCAAATTTAGTATATTTTAGTACTTTTCGGATACTCATAGTTCGAATTTCAAAAAAAAAAAAAAAAAAAACTCTTTGCTACATTTATTACACACTCCCTCAGTGACCCTCATTTCAAGTTCCACGGTTCTTATTCTATTGGTTCTCCAAATACTAATAGAACCACATTCGTTCTGTTATAGTACATATTTCGAAAAATTCAGCCTTACCTAACACCTTAGGACAATGAGTGCCTCTCACCCAAAAGTTTAAAATTCTACCTTCAGTCGTTTCGTCAGAGCGTTGATGAATGGTTAAGTGAGTCAGTAAGTCACTCAATCACTTTACTCTTTTATTAGTATATATAGCGCTTTCAAACGTAACAATTTGTGTCTTGGTCTTAAATTTACTTAATATTGATATTAATTCCATAGCAAAGCTCTGCATCTCTTCCAGGGTAAATAAGTTGCTTTTCACCGGGTTGGTATTTTGGTTATTATTCCATCCCCACAAATTAGAATTTATATCACGAATTTCACAAAAACATCAACCAAACAAGCAATAAAATCTCTAATAGATGAGATACCATTCGAAATTTTAAAATTAATAAACGAAGTAAACTTGGAAAATTATATAACAACATATTTGATACAGACCGTTACCCACAGGAATGGCTAAAATCTACTTTTATTGCCATTCCCAAAAAATGACATGCCAAATACTGCCATCAATACAGACTTAGATTGTTCTTATGAGTCGTCATGCTCTAAAAATATTATTTCTTAGTATTATCCACTCCAGTATATATCAAAATGTAAAAAAGTAATGATTGAAAGAATGTTTGGGAACCCGAGAAGCACTATTCTCCATACATACATTAATACAAAAATGTAGGAACGCCCAAAGAACTGACAGATGAACATTGATATATCAAATGGAGTCAGACAATTCAATATTTATTCGGAGTAAATATTTCAATATAAAATGGCATCCCTATAAACGGATCTTTCCTAAACAATATAAGATTTGCTGTAATGACACAAAGTATTTCTGAACTGAATCTTCTTATATACTCACAACATCTAGTGAAAAATATGGCTTTATTCACAAAACAATATTTATGATTGTAAGCAAAGAACATGCTCACAATAACGCCACACTGCAAATACATAACGCATACGTGGAGAGAGTTAAACCTTTTAAATACCTAGGAATTACCACTCAAAACAGGTAAGAGTTCGAATTGAATTGGCAATATATGTGGTTTTGAAGTACAAAAAAAGTGTTTAACAGTCATGATATAACCCTTGAAATAAAGATTCGCTATATCAAAGCTTATGGTTGGTCAGTCTTGCTGTACGCAACGGAAGTTTGGACAATAAAATCGTCCGATATAAAAAAGTTGGAAGCATTTGAAATGTGGTCCACGTTTCAAATGTTTTTGAAAAATGAAAATGTTTTGAGAAAAATGAACTGTGAAATAGAACTCATTCCAACAATAAAAAGGAGAAAAACTGCGTATTTGGGACATGTCATGAGAAATCAAAAATATAAAGTTTTGCAAGCTATAACCCGCACAAAAATAGAAGGATCAGAGGAAGAAAAGAACTTACATGGATAAAATCAGAGAATGGACTGATATCCGAGATGTATCAAACCTTTTAAGCCTGGCGAGAGACAGAGATGCAGATGTACTAACAAAATTATAAAATGAAATATATTCGGAAATCAAATTTGCATATAAAGAAGAATGAATTACAGTTATTAGCCTAATGGCTTCGTTATACATGTTGAATGCTGCTTTTGAGACAACAATATATTGTCAGGGGCTTCGTTTGATTTACCTACCTCTTCCATTCCATGCACCGTTGAGAGTTCATGATGCATTTTTAGATCGGCTGATAAATCGCTTTCAACGGCGTCAGCGAGTTTGTTAGTTTTTTACTTGAATTGGAAGATGTTAGCGCTTACTTTTCTGGTATTCGCCTGGCTGCTCTTTAGTAGTGGTTCAATCAAGGTTTGCTTTTACACCTTTTTTCCTTTATTATTTTTCTCGAACATTAACATTACTTGTTGTATTTGTTGTTTCATCTGTTGTTGCATCACCATAAATTGTTGCTCGAGCGTTAACCCCTGCACTTCGGGTTCAACTTCCTTTATCCTTCTTTGGGTCTCTTTTTTAGGACTCTTGCTTCTCAACGGCAGGTTTGGTTTCGCCTAGACTTCATCTACATAATCGTGGTATATCAAGCAGTTTTTCGGATTCCCAAACTTGTAGCTGTCGCGATCTCCAATTTGGATGGTAGTTTATGTTTATCCAACAACAACTGCTCTGTTGCCATAACCCTGATTCTTGGTTTTGACAATGTGACAACCAGTGTTGCCAAAACTTTGTCGATAAAAAATGCTAGATTTTGTTTAAAAAAATGCTAGATTTTGTTTGAAAAAATGTTAGATTTTGTTTAAAAAATGCTAAAAAAATTAAAAAAGTGCCAAGTAAAAGTGCTAAAATTTTTTTGAAAGAAACTTCACTTGTAGCTAATAATGAGATCTGTATTTATTAAAAATTAATTATACACATAAGATGGAGTGAGTGTATTTTAAATATTTTTGCAACACCTCGAAATATTCCCTAGAGATCCTATTTATTCTTAATCAGAATAAAATTTTTCGATGTAGCCATGTCCGTCTATCTGATTAAATAACGATAACGATAACAAGCTCGCGATGTTGAAGTAAAATCATTGAAATTTTGCACTTTATTAATATTCCTAGGGTGTTTGGCACTGAAAATGTGATATATGTATGTCCTTTTTAGGACATAGCCAACCGAATTGGCTATAATTTTATATTTTGGATTTTAATTGGAAAAAAATCGACCTACAACAAATGATCAATATGGATGCATGTTTCGACTTTAGAACGTTTTTCAACCGATGTTGCTGCAATTTAATATTTTGGATTCTCATTAGGCAGAAAATCTCCATACAAAGAATTGTCAACATTGGTCCGTGTCCGGGTGGCCTCCAAATTTTTTAGTAGACAGTATATTTTTCTCAATGCGAACTATCAGACTCTCAGAATGTTCCGTATTGCTGCTAGCCAAATCGCTAACATTGCTCGTAGCTCCATCAGCGTAACCAGCCGTGTTGGTGTTGTCCGTGCTGCCCATCATGAAATTCCTGCCGAGGAATTCGACAAACAGTATGAAGATTACTTCAGGCGTGCCGATATCGATGGCTGGGAGGTGCGCAAGGGCATGAACGATTTGTTGGGTATGGATTTGGTTCCAACTCCCAAAATTGTCGATGCTGGCTTGAAGGCATGCCGTAAGGTTAACGACATTGCTTTGGCCATCAGATGGTTGGAAGGTGTCAAGGATAAGTGCGGTGACAAGACCGAAGAAATCTATCCCTACATCATCAACCACGTTCGTCCGATGGCTGAACAAATAAGAGCACCTTTGAGGCCGCACATCATGATAGCGAGATAGTAAAGATGAAGACAGTCTACCGATATATGTCATGAGATGTAAAATTGCAGCAAAGACACTGGAGAAGGAAAGGCCATCTATGCGATACAGGAACTATGGCCCATACCAAGTAAAAGAATATGATGTGTGTGGATATGACGAAAAAGTTGGCTTTGATAAGAGATAATGATAAAGTTCACTAGAATCAAATGAATTCTTTAAGTTAGAAATTTAAATTTTGGATAAAATAGTATATTTCGCATTATATTTTTAAGAACAATTGTAAAGACTAATTATCAATTCAATATCATCATTCAATTCCCACGGGCACAGGATATCTAGAAATATATTTACACATGTGTTGAATATACTTATAATAAAGAATTGGTAGAAGTAAAAACATATTTTGCCATAAAATTAGTATTGAAATGTCAATCGATTTTAAGGTGAATTTCAATACCTCAAACAATCCACAGAAAATATAGTAAATAAGTCTTTTTTTTTGATATTTCAATTACAACTCTCATGTGGCTTAGGTTTTAACCCTACGATCAATAACCACCTACATTTATATCTTTTTTTGATTAAAAATGCTGTCAAATTTGAAATATCGGATCAAATTTTTAGGAACTATTCTTTAGGTGTTTTTACTCTTAATTAAAAAAAATTATAAATAATTCCCATGAATATAATTTTAATAAATCATATATGGGCAATATTGCCAATTTTTTAATATTCCATTTTCAAAAAATCAGCTATTTTATTTTTGTGGCACATCAATGATTTGTGGTACACATATAGAGAAAAATGTTCTGACTCCGAAACCGTTCGCGATCAAATTTTTGGTTGATGCGCGCAAAAGTTATCGAGGTTTTAATTTTGGGCATAAGAAAAAAATCTTAAAATTACGCCGTTTATTATATTTACCAAAAACGTTGATATATATCTTCCTCAGTAAAATAAGAATATGAATATGTTATAATAATCGCGATAAAGTTGCGCATCTTCGCGAAATATGAGAAAAATAAAAAAAATATAGGAGATTACATCAATATTTCCATTATATTAATGACATACATACACCTAAAAATTAACTTAAAAATATCTACATAATCTAAACAACATGATGAATCAAATGATATCAAAATCACAGAAGTCCGTGTAGCGGTTTGTAAATCACAGCGACAACAAAACAAGATATTGAGGAAAAATTTTTCTTTTTGGTTCGAAAAAATAATGTCATCATATTTATTTTTTTAATTTTATACAAGAAATTTCAGAAAAAAATGTTGGGGTTATTCTGCTATTTTACCCGAATTTCGCCGAATAGTTTACATATATAATAATAATCACTTTTTGTGTATAAGTATACGTCTTGCGGATTATATCAAGACCCTTCCGATAAGACTTGGGGTTCTATAAATAGGAATAAATCTTAAAATAATATTATAAAATATACATTTTAAGTTGCGTCTAAATCGCGTATTTCTCAAAATCATTTGATGCGCATACGGTTTACTTAAGTATTGAAGTTTATCTTCCAATCCATATATATTTTGCGAAATTTCATTTGACGGCTAAGGTGTGCCGCACGTTACATTGAAGTACCCAAAAAATCGAAATACGCGAATAATTTCCGAAAATTCCGTATGCCATTAACGCGCATCCGCTTTCGGTGTGCACCCTAAAAAAGTACATCGATCTATACCGATTTCAATGTGATCCAATAGGAACCATGGATGTGCCAGCTCACACTATTTTTGAGATAAATTGCGTCTAAATCGCGTAATTCTCAAAATCATTTGATGCGCATGCGATTTCCAGGTAGTACTGAAGTTTATCTTCCAATCCATATATATTTTGCGAAATTTCATTTGACGGCTAAGATGTGCCGCACGTTACATTGGAGTACCCAAAAAATCGTAAAACGCGAATAATTTCCTAAAACTCCATATGCCATTAACGCGCATCCGATTTCGGCGTGAACCCTAAAAAAATACATCGATCTATACCATTTCAATGTGGTCCATTAAGAACCATGGATGTGCCAGCACAATCTATTTTTGAGATAAATTGCGTACATCTCTCTTTCGGCTGAAGTTTTTAAAGTTCTCTTTTCGAAAAAGATCAAAATCCGTATGAGGTCATTTATTGAAGCGGAAATGATACACAGAAAACGCAAATAAATCCGCGATATTTTCAAAAACATTTTTTTGCCAAATTTCGTGTTTTTGGAAGGCCAGTACCCGCCGTTCTAGTAGATGGATTTTCACAAAGAAGATTTTATATCATCCGAAACGTAAAAAACCTTATTGATCGCGGGTACCCATATCATTCAGTTGACAGGTCTAAAAATTTGGCCCGAAAAATAGGTTTTTTTTAGCAATTTGATCGCACAAAATTCGCACCTTCGGATGAGTATTACTCTGAAGCTGTGCATACTATATACACAAAATACATATCAAATTACGCAGATTCGCGACTACAATAACCTTATAATCGATTTTTATAAATTCCGGTTTGCATATTAAAGCTAGAAATAAAATTAAAAAAACACTCAAAATTGAGCTTCAAAATGTCAGCATCATTTAAAGGTAGATGCAGTTAAAATTTTGAAAAATGATACATAAGAAGCGTAGTCCCCATTTTGTTGGCCTCTAGTTTTATTTTGACACGAAGACCGTGCAATGAGTGGCTTAGTCACAAATCGATAGAGAACATAAAAAACTGGTTCGCCTCAACCTATTTTTACACATTTTTTACATTAAAGTAGACACGGCTTCCACCAAAATAAAGTTTGGATGCCAATATCATGAACAGTTTGCAACGACAGATCAATTAACCCAAAACTATTCACTTTTTTTCATATACTTAAGTAGTTCCCGAGTTATAAAGGGGTGAACCTCCGCTTCAGCTATGTTAAAAAATTGGCAATATTGCCCATATATACTTTTTTTCTACGCGTCACCTTTTTATCTATTTATCGACTATTTATCGATACAAAAAACACATCTCTAAAATTGTGGTCAGCTGTTTATTTTGTTTGATATTTTTGTGCAGAAATGTGTTTGTATCCTTCACCGCACTGTGGCACAGGAAAATATGTCTTGGTACATGTGTTTGCAACACCCAAAAGGAGACCCATAGCTACTTTTTAGTATATGCATAGAATTACTTTTGTTGTCGATTTATGTATGTCCCACCATCCATTTATTATTTTAAACAAGTGACTTGTCATATTTATGATCCAATCGGGATGCAATTTGGAAAATTCCACGCAATAGGTATGAAACTTTATTTGGCACATAGACACATAGAGTCCTATTCCTATTGGTCAAAATCGGTTCAGATTTATTATAGATTTCGTTGTTTCAAACAAGAAAGTTTTATAATAGAAAATTATTTATTTGACAAGAAAAGCACATGGAAGACTTAATGAATAAAGCCATTATCTTCATAAATTGTTACAGGATCGCTCTGAATGATGTTGAGATATTGAAGTAATCCACGTAACCAAATTGCTTCTGAAACCGCGGAGCTCAGTGCAATATATTCCTATTCACTAGATGAGGTAGCCACAATCTGTTGTTTTCTACTTGACCAGGATACGGTACAGCCAAATACATTAAATATATATCCACTTACAGACTTTCTATCACTTTCATCATTGGCCCAATCGGCGTCTGCAAATCTTATTAAAGGTGGCCGTTGCTTTCATTTTCATAACTTAATTTAATATTCATTGTCCCTTTCAGATATATCAGAACCCTTTTTGCTGCTTGCCAGTGTTCCTCTGAAGGGTTTTGTTGGAAACGTCCCAGATAACCTACACAGTAGCATATATCTGGCCTTACAGAAAGCATTGCGTACATCATACTACCAATTAATTCTCTATATGGTTTATTGCACACAGTTGCATTTTTATTAACTTTTAGCTTCAAACCCTTATCCATTGGTGTTCTTGCAGGGTTGCAGTCTTGCAAGATAATTTTTTGCTTCTTGGGACAACAATATTTTCGATCTTTATTCCCAAAAAATATTTAATACCTTCACATTGTGATAAGTGGAGTTTACTCTCTGTTTGGGGAAAGAGCTGGATTTCGTTTCGGATTGTTAAGTTTGTTCTTTGTTTGTTTGCCTTTTTTCACATTAAACTTCCTTGTTTTTCATAAATAAAACACTGTCTACTTTAGTTAGAATTCATGTGGTTTTATTTTGTTATATTTTTTTATGTAAAATACACTTATTTGTTTTGAAAGTTTTGTCAATTCAATTTGATTTTTGATTAAGAAATTAGCGCGACTTCACTTGTTACAACTGTTTATGACCTCTTCCTTGTATGTTTGTTTCTCAACGATCGCAAAACTAGACTGTGACTTCTTTTCTAATATTTCATTTCAAGGGCATACAAAAGGGAATGAGAAATACACAACAACAATGCATGTGTCTATACTGGGTATAGGCAACGGTATTTGAATGTGTTGTTGTTGTTATTGCTTTGATTATAAGAGAACCATGCAAACGAAGAGAGGTCATAAAAACAAGTTGAAGTCGAAATGAGATTTTAGAACAAAAGGAAATTAGAAACTAAAGCAAATTCATAAGATCAGCTGTTAGCCGTTCATAGCTTGTTTAGCCTATGTTGCAAATATAAAAATTACAAATGTGGTTCAACATTGGACAATCGTTGAACATTCTGGCCTCCCCGTGCTTAGTTACCACAGCTTTCCAATGGCACCAGTAAATGTATAGCCAATGGCTGTGTTTTGTGCGAGGACTTGAGGTACATTTGTATAGATTGAGCCGTTTCGGTATAGGTCCCAATAAACATCTCCACCAAGTTCGATATCTAAAGCTTTATTGCAACGCGGATCAGGATCGGCCAGCGAGTCCGGTGTAAAGTCTTCTGTAGGATCCTCGACTATAGGCTTTTCGTATGGTTTACGAGGGAGGTCGTTTGTGAGCATTGCACATATTTCTCGCTGCCATTTGAAGCGTGGTGTTCTTGCCCCAACCACCAT